CCCATTATATGAAAGTAACTTCAGCAAAACACTCATGCTATGTCCTACTTACCACCAGTGCTGCCTTGCCAAAAAAACAAATGGTCATTTTCTTTAATCTCTCTGTTCCCAGAACAGTGTGATTATTACTATTATTGACATGATTAGTAGTCTGATCTTTATTGTTCAACAGCATTATAATATTAATATAAAATTATATAATTCAGCAGCATTACCATAAATAGGTGGAGTATAGTCTGGTATGATGTCTAAACTCTGCCATCCATTTTGGTTTTAGAAAGGACAAGAGAATCCCTTTTGTAGAAAATAATTAGCACTGTTCCTAGGTATCAGGAAGAGAAAAGCCTTGGGAAGAGTGAAACAGGACAAAGGCTGAAACTGTTCATGCCTGCAGTTGCATACAGACTGGGAAAAGCCAGAAGATTGTTGGCTTCCTCTGTCCAAAATGCTAAGCATGGGTTGTGAAATGGCTGCTCTTTAAGCCAACCAAACTAAATACCTAGAGTTTCACATTTCTGTTGTCTAGTGACAAGCACAAATTTGAGCCAAATCCTCCCTTTCCTAAGGTACTGGGAAAAAATAAAGTGAGATCTTGTCTGGCTTGAAGAGATAGCCAAGATATAGGGGTCTGATGGCTCCAGAATCAGTGAACTGGCAAAGAAGAGTTTATATAAAGTACATTTAGCTGGTGTGGAGCTATTTGGGAACTCTTACTGACTGGATTTCTGAAATCTCCTGGCTCCTCCTGTTGATCTGCCTGGTGGCCCAGTGTTGACCTTCCTGTGTGTCTTCCAGAATTCCACCATCTGACTATTGAAAACACCTTCTTTAAAGCTCAATCCCTTTCTGTAAAAGAAATCCTGTTTTATTCATCCAGCAGAACAATGCCATAAACACTTGAGAACTTATTCTCACATTGGCTTAATTTGTTCATTTTGTTGCCTGGGGGAAGTGTCCTGAATCTGTTTGCGTGACAGCCTTCAGCAGTGTTCATATTTGCTTCTTATTCTGCTGGCTGTCATCCTTGTCCCCAGATAAAGGAACTGGAAAATTAGTGACTGAATCAATATCTCATTGCTTTGCCCTGAGATAAGAAAGACAACTTTTTTTTTCTTTTTTTCTTTTTTTTTTGTGTGGAGTTCTGCCAATTGGCTGTCCCTGCTCCTCTCTGTCTTCAGAAAACAGAGCTGCATGGATGGGGCTGGGAGAGAGGAGGAGATGGGAGAAAGTCTCCCCTTAGATGGATTCCAGTGACTTGAGCAGATAAAGGGCCACAGCTGCTTCACATTTAACTGGAAACAGCCAAGCTGCAAGATCAATCCAGGAAGCACCTGTGTCTGTGATGACTCTATTGTTGCTGGGTTCTCAGAATCAGCTCTGACCTGCTGCCACATGCCAAGCCCTGATGTGCTGCACACCGTCCTCTTGGCCAGAGGAACATGCAGAAATGCTCGTTTTTATCAGGCTGCTCCCTCTAAGGATGGAATCAGTGCTGCCTTCCTTCAGAATCAGGGAGTTCAGGATGACGGAATAATTCAGCACAAGTTTTTATGTCTGCGTGTCTGAGAGTTTGAGAGTTTATTGTAAACTCTCAGAGCTCTGAAATTAATTAATTTCAATTAATTACCCTTGTGCCTTATATTTGCACTTCCTGCCCCAGGTGAAGCAACATCTCTTTGCTGTTGTGACTTACTCCTGTCCTTCTGTCTGAAGGAAAGAGCTTCCTCCCTTCATTCTCCTATAGCATCCTACAGATGTGACCCTGGCTCTGCTGCTCGTTGTTGCCTCAGGGTGGAAGTCTCTGCTCCCTTAGGAATGCTCTCCTTCCCCATGGGGTGAAAGCACACTCCATCCACACAGTGATGCAGCCTTTTCACTCCACCAGGACCCCTAACCCTCCCAAGGTGATAGGCAGAATTAGGAAAAATGTTTGACATAACATTCCCCACAGCCCCAGTTTGGTAAACCCAGTTTTGGAAAACCCAGAAAATTACAGATGCCCTTAGAACTGTCAGGAATCTCCCAGCAGTTGCCAAGCTCCTTGGGATGCCTACACAGCTTCAGCTTCCTGGTGCCTGCTAGTCAGGGTTGCTTCACTCTGCATAGCTTTTAATTTTTGGAATGTGTTAGGGATAATGTTAAAGTTATTGTGAAATAAGTAAACATTCATTTAGAAAACACACAGGTGAAAAAAAAAAATTACAAGAGCTGTAACACTTTAATTGGAAACAATTAATTGAGGAAAAAAGAACTGAGAAAGGTAGATTCTGGATCCCATCTCTTCTGATACAGGGGAAAATGCATCCTTCTTTTAAGAGGTGCATAGGGATTAAATAGGGTTCTTCTACATGCATTGGTGAATTTATTGCCTCATCTAAAATTGGAGAATATGACTACTCAGTGATTAAAATACTTAGCCACGATAATACGCACATTACATTTTCGTGTTCCTATGTGCCTTTAAAATGTCCACCTTTGCAAATTAATTGTCTCTGTGTCTACCTTACAGCCACAAAGCCTGAGCCAGCCAAGTAACTCTCAGGGGGAAAAACATGGAAGAAGGTCTCCAAAATGTGCTAAAGAAGCAAATTCAACTTACAAATTCTCAGCCATGGAAATTTAATTATCTTGTTACTTCCTGAGCAACACATTGCATAGGGACAGTGGATCTGCATGTTCTTTAGGCCACCTTTAGACACTGAACACCTTCTGAGAGAATGGAATTTAGTAACTTGCTACAAAAAAAACCAAAAACTGGGAAAGAACAAGATAGTTCATGGTGTTGGAGTAAGAAAACAGAACTTCTCAGGAATTTCATGCTTGACTAGTTCTCCCAGTGGGACATTCACTTTGTGTATAATCAGATTTTATCCTTGGCAAAATTTCTGGTTTCTTTTGAAAAAATTGTTTCATATTCCATATAATTCTGTTCCTTGGGAATGGGGCCTCTGGGGAAAGCTGGGCTTGCTTCTTTTTGCTCAAGGGCAGCTTGCTCGCTGAGCTGTCCTGAAGCCAGTGCTAAGGTTTCTAGAGATTTTTGCTGCTCTGCAGCCTATCAGTTTTAGGAGATCTGTATCTCATACTCCATAAACTCTAATAGTAAACTTACAGAGCCTTGGAGACTTCAAAAGTTCAGAGCTAGTTCTTACCTTATTTCCTAGCCAAATTTTAGAGTTCTTGTTTCCACAGGAGAAGCTGATTTTTCATCCTCTTTCTGCTTCCAGCCAGCGCTGGAAGATCTTTTCACCTTAGGTCATGAGTATGAGATGATAATTTTGGTTTATAGTTATTAGAGATAAAACTGATCCAACTTGCACTGTTGGCTTCCATCACTGCCAGTAGCTTTTAGAGGTCATTGTTAATGTGAGATGGTTGCTGATCCTCTCCCATCTTCTGTGCATCAGCTCATGGGGGAGTTGGTGGAAAACTCAAAGTATGTTCACCCAGTTGTGCAGAGGCCTTCTACAGTCCAAGTGAAAAGACTGGCTTTTCCAGAGTAGTGCTCATGGGCATCTTAGACAACTGGCCCAGCTTGCTTGCAGGAGGTGTCTGACTGGTTTTAGGTGGCTAATCAAGTTTTAGATGGTTGGTTGTTTTTGTGAGATGTGTCACTAGGCTCCTTTAAGCCTTTGAGAGAACTGCACCAACCCATCCCCTGCTGGAACAGTGAGATTGTATGACTTTGTTTGTGTGTTCAGCCTGCACTTGTCCTGTGGATTGATGGCCTCCTCCAAGGGTGATATCAATCTGGGCTGAAGTGCAGCTGCACTTTGTAACAGCTCAAGGAGCACAAAGGTATCAAGTGGTATTGTGTGGTTGGAAAGATGTCGTTTATCTGAGGAAGTTTGTGGTCTGTTTGCTGTCACTCTGTCTTTGCAGTGCCGACTTCCCTTACCTTCACTATCACGTTGTCAGGCAAAGAGACCTCACACGTTAGGACAGAGAGCTTTTCCACATCCAGAGCTGACTTCTTTTCCTTCAACAAGAGGTCTCTGGGCTGTGCTGCAATCAGTAGAGCTGCTTGATTCAGCATGAGTGTAGTAATTCAGCTTGCAGGGAGCTCTTTACAATGCACAAGTTCCTAAAAAAGGGATAAGGAGAAAGGAAGTCAATGACTTCTCTCAATGATATTTTCATTTAAAGTTCTTTTAATAACAGTCCCTTAGGAAAAAACAGTCAAGGATGCAGTGTTCTACAGAGGATTTTGCTGAGAAGTACATCTGTCATCTTCCATGAGTGATCAGGTGTTCATAAGGATATTCTTATTCCAAATGGGGTTAGAAGCCCTCCAGAGTACTATTATGACTGGTGGCATGACCAAATGACTCCCTGTGGATGGATCTTACTGTGGCAAGCTGTGAAATTTACTGAAACCTGTTTCAATTGCCCCCACGAGTAGAAAGTCACTCTAACGTATATATGGGGTATGATTTTGGGTCATTTCTTGCCCATTTTGGTGCAGAACATTCTTACTGTTGACAGCTCATGGTATCTCAGCCAAGCCAGGTGACTTCATTCTGGCCACAACCCAGCTTTGGCTCCTAAATTACAGTGTAGGTGTCCCTTCAGGAGAATATGGTGAAGAGTCAGCCTGAGATCCATGTACATCAGCCCCTCCTCCTAGTTAGGTGCTAGTAGAGGGAGCAGGAATGCCAAAAAGAGTAAGTTCTTATAACGGTAAATTAAGGATGGTGAATTTATGAAGCGCTTGTCACAGTAAATACCTTAGAAGCCAGAATGCATTTTTGTGTCATGATCATTGAATCATTTTTATGAGAAGTCAAAATAAATTCATATCCAGTCTGTAAAGTTTGTAAAGAGTTTAATTCATCCAGGAAATCATGTGTTGGGAATACAGTACCCAGATCCAGATCAGATATACTTCAGAGAAGCATTTAGGTTTTAAAATCCTTCCACAAGCTAAACTGATCTCAAGAATCTTTGGAGTTTCACCCTTCTCTGGACCTCATGCTCCATACAAGTGAACATCATGCCAATGTGTTTCCCATTTCCTGGGGATTAAACTGCTGTGTTTGATGACTCAGGACTTTCCAAGGAAGCAGCTCAGTCACTCATTCTGTCTGAAGTGGCCTCAGGTGTCTCACAGGACATGTTTTCTCTTCCACAGTGATTCATGATTTCAGAGCTGAGGATCAGCTCTCTCTCATTTTTTTTCTTCCCACAAAGTTAATTAATAAAACAAATTTCTATTAGTGGGTGGTGAAAGATTTTGGTTTCCCACCTATACTCCCAAATGCTCTGCATTCCAGGAGGAATGAAAAATGGATCTGTGAATAGAAACAGGAGGGAGGAAAAATGGATCAGATTCTGTAGATGGATGTAGGTACAGTGGCTGTCAAGTGATATGGTGGAAGAACTTCCTGAATAAAGACAGTTTCTTGCAATTGTGATTGCTAAAAACACACCACTTAAATAAAAATCCAGCTTCAGGATTCATGGGGGCAAAATTAGAAAGCTGGGGACACAGGGTGTGTCTGACAGAAACTGAACTGTCTGGGCTTCCCATTGACCTCTTGCTTAGGTGGGCAGCTACACATAATGCAGTAGTTCTGCTTGTGAAAACTGGATCTTCTGCCACTGTCAGAGGCTCCTGTTGGTCAGGAGAAGGACCTGGAGGATTCATCCCCTCGTGGCCACTGTGGACTTGGCTATGTCCATCTGTCTGCCTCGTGTAGCCCCACCATAGTACAGAATTCTTCATCAGCATCAAGAATTAAGTGTAAATTTGTACTCACCGTGTGCATAACTTTTGTCACTTCAGCCAGAAAACATTTGGTCCTACTGAGAGACAGAGTTGACAGAATTTCCCATTCCTACTGCTGTATGGGACATCAGAGCAGTTCTCAATTCCATAGTGCCCCTTTGCCGGTGACAGCTTGCAGAGGAGGAGACCCAATTTGGTGCTCTCATTTATTTGTGGGAGAGAGCACACTGAAGCCTTTCTCCATTGATTTCCAGTCAACTCAGGAATAAGAACAAGTCACAGACAGGCTCCAAGTGCTTTAGTACCCAGCGCCCTGTCTGACAACTAGATTTGCATCTCCTGTCATATGACCCCAGCATCACATTTCCAAATTACTTTTGCAAAAATAAAGGCAGTCCCAGAAATTCCTGTGCCGGGACAGCACATCCCTGTTTATGTTTGAAGGGCCGATACCAATCTGGAGCCCCCGGTGATCAAAGCGCGCTTTCAGAGATGAGCCTCGTGTTATGTTTGAAGTGAGCACTTTGAAATGAGGATGAAGCAGGACTAAATCAGGATGAAGGATGTGGGGCATTACCTACTTTACATTAAATCCAAGCTGGAAAGACGTGGCCAGTGTTCCAAAGTTTTCCTTGGAGAGTGCTTGGAAGCTGCACACCAGCCTGTTTGTGGAAAGCTGAACAGTTTCCTATTGTCTGTGATGTGAAATGCTTCCCAGATAAACACTTTCCCCCTCCACTGAAGAAAAATGATAAAGCTTCGGCAGAGTTCCTGGTTTCTGTTGGCATTGAGCTCTGTTAAAGGCTATAGTTCATATCCATGCCAGAGTCATTAAGGAAAGGTTCTGTTATTGAGTGAGACTGGGATAATCTTCAAGGGTTTAATAACGTTGTGCGCCCACATCTTTGCATCTCTGGGTTCATTATACCCCTGGAATGTAAATCCCAATCCACAGTGGATAAACAAGGTTCACATGGATCTCAAATACTTTTGTGGTATTGTCTCCTCATGGTTTCTGAAAGGGAAAGAAAACATTGCTAGAAATAACCTCACTGGAGTTGTTTAGCCCAGAAAACAGGAGGCTCAGGGGGGACCTTATCGCTTTCTACAGCTACCTGAAGGGGTTTTACTGAGGTGGGAGTTGGTCCCTTATCCCAAATAACAAGCGATAGGAAAACAAGAAAGGACCTCAAGTTGTGCCAGGGGGGTTTAGATTGGGTATTAGGAAAATTTTCCTCACAGAAAGGGTTGCCACGCATTGGAATGGGCAGCCCAGGGAAGCTGTGGGGTCACAATCCCTAAAGGGATTTAAAGGGTGTGTACATGTGGCACTTGGGGACATGGTTTAGTGGTGAACATTGCTGTGCTGGATTAACAGTTGGACTCAATGGTCTTAAAGGTCTTTTCCAACCTAAATAATTCTGTGATTCTACAAAGAGAGCAGTAAATCTCTGATGCTGCAGTAGGTTTTGGTTGTAACATTGCCTGTATTTGTGGCATTTGAAGTAATTTTAAGGAATTATTCCTAACACCCGCAGAGTCAAGGTATCATATTCCATCACAAGGATGATCCAAAAGTCCCTCCATGAACTTTGGAGAGAAAAAGCTGATTTTTGAAACCAGCAATGCTAAGAACCAAGGCTGTGTAACACCAAGGCAGTACTGGTGGTGGTTTGATCGGATCAATGGGTGGTTCTCCCTTTGCTTCTCTTGTTCTGGCAGGTGCAGGTCTGAAGGACCTCGTTATGTCCTCACCTCTAACTCCAGTTTGGTTTTGCTGGGTGCCTCTATCCTTCCTCCATGGTGCCTCTTAGGCTGAAGACCTTTAGCCAGGAGCAGGGTGTGGTTCCACTTGTTGACCTACAGTCGGTGAATGCAGTAGTTACAAATTCACCTTTGCCACCGTTTTGTCAAAACAAACCTCACTTTGAGTTTGTGACAAAGGATCATCTTTCTTCCCTAGAGGCATGGGATTTCTTGCTAATGTTAAATGGTAATTTTGCATTTGTATCAAATTTGTATGCAGATTAAGTTTGAGGTGGGAATTGCAGCTTCCATTGACATTTAGCAGGCACTGAGGTTTTAAATCGTTGAGGCAATTTTGGAAACATTCCCCTTAAGGAGAAAGGACCTAGACTTGAAAGAAAGCAGAGGGTTTAATTTGTTTGTTTCGCAAATGTAGCCACGAATTTAAGGCAATCTCTATGTACTCAAGCATTCATACTGATTGTAATCATTGCTGAATGGTCCATTCCCAGTCGTGTCAGAGAAAGGCATCAAATGAAATCCACAGGCAGCCAGAAGAGGTTTAAATGAGGTGATGGAGCTGGAGATTGATTTTGTTTTCTTCTTCTTTCACTACTGGCGTACACTTGCCTCCTTCTTTACCTCTCCTGCCTTTCCAAGAAGCCCTGAGCAGACCTGATGAGTTCTGTAGGTTCCCTAATTGTTTGACTGTGGTGTATAGAAAAGGGCTAAACCTTTCCTCATAAAGCCTGACTCCATCATGCTTATTTTCACATAAATAAGGACATACAGTCTTTTTTGATCTGTGTGCTACTTGGGATAATTCCATTCTGACTGGCTGTCAATTCAAGATGAATTCTTACTAAAGAAAGAAGGCAACAGAGGGACAGAGTACCCTCCCCTTCTGTTCAGAATTCACAGGCTTGTGGGGCAGCTCCAAGCACTCAGTCTCATTGTAGAAAGAGCCAGATGAGTCGTCCTGCAGTTTCAATTAAAACATCTCACGTGGGCATCATTTCAACAGCGTCGACTTTCCTGCAGTTTGAGCTGTATTACAGCACCACCTCATGAGAAGTCCTAGTTTGGTCACTCTCAGTGTTCAGCTTTGTGCAGTGATAAGAAGCTAATGACTGCTGGAACCTGTGCTGAATGCCAGGCATACTTCTGATGAGTCTCTGACGTCTGTTCCACTTGATATATTACATGTTTTTCCATAGCTAGGCAGTGCTACAAGTACTCAGCTGTGATACTCTCTCGGACAATTGGCACTTAGATAAAGCATTTCAAGGCAAACAAACAGATATTCACATATAATGGAGGTAGGTGAGCCCCTAATGCTCCTGTGCAATGAGGAGTTAGGGAGGGAGGCTGCAGGGGCTGTCACCTTTGTACTGTCTGTCATTGTCTCACACCTTTTGCCTGTCAACTTGCTAAGATGAAGTTTTTAAAGAATGCATAATTTAATTCTGGGATTCTTAAGTATACCAATAAAAATAATAATCATAGACATTTCAGTGAAGGAAAGGTATTTTCTGGGGTCAATGCAAGTTTTCCTGTTTTAAGGAAGACCTGGAGCCTGTTCTTTATAACTAGACAGTGAGATTTGCCTGAGTTCATTAAAAATCAGTGTCTCCTATGGCCTCAGATGGCTCATGGATATTCAAGGTCTGGTCTTATAAGTTTCAATTAGCAAACTCAAAAAGAGACTATAAAACCTTCTTTTCTTTCTTTAGGTTTCAGCAGCAATGTGCATACTTTGTTAATGAAGAAGTGAATTTAAGTGAAAGATGGCTTTGTCAGACAGAAATGAGCATTTGATAGAAGCAGCTTCATCAACATGACTTGATACAAAGAGGGAACCCTCTGTGACACAGAGAGACGTTATGTAAAGTCCATTAGCATTAGAGTTGACAGAACAACATTAGACATTAAAGCAAGTGGGGTTTGCAGGGAGAACTCTTTGCCTTCATCACGTTTCAAGGGCTCTGTCCATTACTGTGCAGTGAAAATGCCCACAGACAGGCTGAAGTGTTGCCTGAATAGGGATTCTGACAACTGTCTTGTTCTTTTCTTGGAAACACTCAGGCACTGTGATATGGGCAAGGCCAATGGGCTCTCACAATATTTTGTGAAGAAAGTGTTCTTCACAAGTGAAGAAAATATTTTGAGGAGTGTCTGTGTGTTCCTTTTTTTAGCTCAGCAGCCATCAATGGCTGAGCAGATCAGATGTTTTGCAGTGTCAGCTACAGAGAAGAAAAGTAGATTTTGTGTCACAGAGATGTAGAGTCTCTTGCAGACATGGTCATCTTATGGCTCTTTGGTTCCACACTTATGCCTGCTGCTGGACTTAAGTGGTCTGTGTCTCTCTCCTTCTGGTGATAGCAGCTACTTATGAGCCCACCTTATCTGTGTCTTGCAATTGTAAGAGCCTCGACTGAACAAGGTACTTCAGGGACACAAGTTTCTGTGCTTGCACAGATCTGTGACCCACCCAGTACCTCACTTCGGCCAGGACCCAACTTCAGAGCATCAGAGGGAACTGCAGGAAACAGCACCAGGCAGACAGTGAATAATCAGTCCTTAGTTTCAGTCTGAAGTCAGTGGAAATGTTGTAGTCCCTCAAGCTAAGCATTTGGTGCCTTGCTCATCTGTGTCCCTGTAGAGAGTTTTTAAGATATGGTAGAGAATATGGACTTCTGCAGATACATGTTCTCTCTGGAGGATCCAGCAAAGAAGGGAAATTAATTCCCAGGGGAGACAAACTGGGAGCAGAACTTGATTTGGATTGTAAATGAGCAAGATATAAACAGTTGTATATTAGCTGTAGTTCTACTGTGGAATCAAATCAAGCAGCCAGTTTGGTGGTATTTTTTGTCAGTCAACTCCTTAAAATTCATTGCAAACTAAGCACTCAAAATTTTATTATAAGACAATAAAACATTTTAACTTTATGTAGCAAGCCTTTGGGTGTTGCATGGGCATACAGAGTTGTAATTTGTACGTGAAGTCTTCTCCCTCCTCTGAAAGAGATTTCAAGGTGTTCCAGGACATTTTGCATATCTCTGTGCTCCCATGTTGAACCAGGATGCCTGAGCAGGGAAAAGCCCATCCAGACCTATGGGATAGGGATAGTGGAGACAGTGAGGCACCAAAGGTATCTGTATTGTAACCATTTGGCTTAAGCTGAACCACCCAGGCAGAAATAGCTTAGCACTAATTGGTGTGGTGGTAATGACACTGTGGAGATTTAGGGAACAGAGCCTGAGGTGAGGCCTGTGTACCATGAGCAAAAAAGGTTCTTATTTGCTATTTCTGTGGAAAATGGGAACAAGACCAGAGGGTCAACCCATCCTTCCTCTGAGGGCATAGCCCATCCTCTGGGGCTGGAGTGTGCAGCTCTCAGAGTTTTCATGAAAGATGCATAAACAAAGGATTATTCAGTTCAAGAACTGAACCAAGAAATCGAGAAGGGAAAAAAAAGTTCAGAGCCATTTGAAATGGAACATTTTGAGGATGCTTTTGAAGGCAGGAATTGGGTTTTGTTGGGTTTTGTCATTTTTATATATTAGCTGGGTTTTTCTTTTTAATTGAGATCAATTTCTGAACAAAAAAGGCCACTTTGTAGCATGTAAGTCTTTGAAAGTCTGGAGACTAAAAAAAAAATTAGAAGCTTTGTTCAGAAAATGCTGAAATGAAACATTTTGAGTTTTCTGAAAGAATTCAAATGAAAATGTGGAAATGACACGTTACAAATGTTACAGCTGCCCTCTCTTTTTTCAGCAAATTCAGCCTCTAAAGTGCAGAAAGCTTGACTTTTTCCTCCTGTGCCTCAGACCAACTTCACTTCTAATGAAACAGAATAGATAAAAAGGTTTTACTTGTTCCTCTTACTTTATAGTTTCTCAGAGTGGGAAGGAAAACATTACCATGTGAATGGCTTCACATCACAAACTTCTCATTTCATTTATGCGCAGATTTGTACATATATGTGTGTATTCTGAGGACTAAATTCACTTCCAAACTAAGGTTACAGTTCTTGAGCAATAGTGATTCTTCCCAGAGAAATAGTCTGATGTGGATTCAGAGCACAGAGAGATACCATCCAAGTTTGGGGTGGACTGTAATCTAATTTAACTACTTAACCTAATTTAAGTGCTCATGAGATGTAGTTGACTCTGGTGCAAAAAAATGAAAAAACAAATTTGTTTCCAAATTCTGTTAAGAAGTTTTAACTTTAGTGTACAGGCCTAAGGCAACTACTTCCCAAATAAAATAACCTCATTATAATTAAGCTGATCAGGTGAGTGAATAATCAGGGATTTCACAGGAGTGATCAGGGATTTCTCTTTTGCTGTCTCTTGAGCCCAAATTCATCCTGAGTGATTTACAGCACTTAGCCTGAAGCACCTCAAATTAAGTTTTAAGTATGGGGAGAATCGAACACTCTGATCTCTGCTTT